GAGTCAGTGTTTACTGGATGGGGCCACGAGAATATCTCCATGTGGGTCACACTCAGCGGTCCAGGGTGGACTCACTATCACATCTCCCTTCTTTATGGAGTACTCATCTCAGTTGATGTCCCCATTATATAGCAAATCCTGAAGAATTTAACATCCTAAGCAGTTCTTGATTCACCCGCAAAAAACTCATGTCTTGACCTGGTCCTAATTTTGACTTTTATGCCCCCGTCTGCTCTCCTCCTCCTCTCACAGTCTTGATGAACATGGATGTTAAGGTGACCTTGTGCTCCAGAGCTCTTACCTCTCAGGTCATTGTCTTGGTTACATCATTGCGTCCGGCAACCTGGAGGATCTACCCCAAGCCTTGCCCATCACAGTAGCAGTAGCTCTCCTTCCTCAATCTTTACAACCCAACCCCTTTGACCTCTTTAATGTTGCGCATCCTGAGGGTGCAGTGGTAGAACACTGGCCTTCCTTGTGGGATACCCAAGTCAAATCCCTATCCAATTTGCCAGACCCAGTGTGTACCTATTTGTCAGTGGAAGCTGGTGTGCTGCTCCTGATGCTGGTCAGGTTACCTTGGAGCTTCCAGGTGAAGGAAGGCGTGGTGAGCTGCTTCTGAAAACCTGCTAGTGAAACCAACTTGACAGCACTTAACAACAACTTCTTTGAATGTTTGGTGGAATTCACCAGTAAATCCATCTGGGCCTGGACTTTTAAGTTGTTTTTTTGTTTGTTTGTTTGTTTTTAATGACTTGATCAATTTCTCCTCTTGTTACAGACCCGTTCAAGTTTTCTACTTCAGTCTGTGTGTTTAGGTAGGTCGTGTATTTCTAGGAATTTGTCCATATCTTCTACATTTTTAATTTGTTGGCATTCAGTTTTTCATAGTACTCTGTTACTCTCCTTTTTATTTCTGTTGGTTCTGTTGTGACATCATCTTTGGGGATAGCTAAAGGAAACGGATCCATTACTGACACCTTTTAAGTCACCTCTTTGTTTTCTGTCAGCCCCTCACACTTGTACACATCTTTGAAAGCATCAGCGGAACACTTCCCTTCCGTTGTAGATGTTGGCACCTGAGAAAGATGGAGAACGGATGATGCTCTGGGACTAAGAGGAAGAATCGTACACAAAAAGAAATGTACCTGCAGCATTCTCTTCAAATGCATCCATCCATCCATCCATCCATCCCTTCATGTCCCACTTACACGCAGACTTACCCCACACTCAGCACCGCTCCAGCAGCAGAATGTGCAAGCACAAAACTAGGCCACATAGGTGTGGTGTGATTTGGGCACGTCACACTGTCTCCCTGTGTCTCTGTTTCCTTGTTTAAACTGGGGCTGGAAACAGTATCTTACTGACATGTTACAAGATGGCTAGACCTTGAGAACACGATGCTGCAAGAAATAAGTTGGACACAAAAAGATCAGTATCTTGTGAACCTATTTACAGTAGGCAAGTGGGTGGGGCCAAAGTCTGTTAGTGGTTACCGGGGGTGGAAGAGCTGAGGAAAAGAGGGAGTCATTGTGGGGGATGGGCACGAAGTTTCTGTTAAGGGTGATAGAAAATTTTGAAACTGGATTATGGGATGGTTGCACAACATGATGAACACAATGTCACTGAAGTGTGCATGTAAAATATGTTGAAATGGAGAGATATACACACCTCCATAACTTGTAAAAACAGTATATAACCCATAGGGCTAGATACTGTATGTGTTACATCTGAAGGGCTTACACAAGTGCTTGACCCGGAATCGGTGCCCAGCAAGCATTGTTGCTGTTGTTAAGTGCTGTTGAATGCGTTCTGACTCATGGCAACCCTATCTATAGGGTCTGTATAGGTTTGTATGCTAAACACAAGGTTGGCAGCTCAAACCCACCCCAGAGACTGGTGTTTAGCGGTCCAGTGCTTATCCTAGAGGGAGTCACAGACAACACTGCTGGACTAGGGTAAGGCACGTGGCAACAGCTGAGAGCCCTCCTAAGACTTGCAAACTCCAGTGGGAAAAGAACAATATATAAGTAAGCACACAGAATGCGGGTGCTCTGTGGTAGCAGATGGTGATGATGATGGGGGCGGAGCCCCTCTGGGATAATATCTAATTCACGGAGGATGAGAAGAAGCCATGTGGAGACTGTTCCACGCATAAAGTCATAACAAATGCAGACTCTAAGTGGGTAGGGTTTGGAATCTGTTAGAGTTATCTGAAGGCCACTGTTGGCCCAGACAGAGTGATCTGCAGGGAAAGGGGGTGATGTGACTGGAGAGGCAGGGGAGGTCCTGGAAACCTTGGGGACCATAGAGAAGACACTGTGATTTTACTCCAAGTGCAGTGGAAAGCCTGGGAACGGTTTTAAGCAGAAGAGAAGCTTGACCTCAAGGTGGGGCCTGGGAGGTTCCACGATGCCCTGGGAGATGACTGTTCTGGCACTGGTACTGAGAAGAACTCAGAAGTCTCTAGTGAGGGCCCAGACAGAGCTCCCTGCAGATGGCGCTCTGTTTCAGTGTAGGGGTCTACCTGCCACAAGTTCATGAGGTGATTTCTGAGGAACCGTGGGCTTGTGAACTTCACAGTTGGAAGTGGACTTTTGAAGGTCCTCTTCTCTAACTTCCCACACCTCCCTCATTGAAGCCTCTTCGAGGAAGATTGAGTGAGGCACATGAAGACGTAAGCTCACTCAACAGGGCTTCAGCCACCACCTTAGAACTTGACCACCAGTCTTACTGAGATCTTTTGTTTGTTTTTTGTCCTCTTCTCTTCTCTTCTCTCCCATCTCCTCTCCTCCTTCCTGCCTTCTCCTCTCTCCCTTCCCCTCCATTTCTCCTGTCCCTCTTCTTTTTGATGAAATGTTTTGAAAATATATAATGCTGCACGCAGGTATGGTGTTACTGTATCTGAGCCATAAATCGGCAATTTTTTCCAGACTTAAGAAAATCTCACAAAGGAGCAAGTCATCCAATGCCCCTGTTTCCCATCCTTCACAGAAAGGAAACCTACCCTAGTATTTCAGACCTCTCTGAAGCCCCAGTATGATTGGGGGCGGTATTCCTCTTTAGCTTCAAGGACATTTGGATAGCAATGAGCTGTAAGGCTGTTGTTTTTGTTTTTTAGGTGAAAATATTCATTGGTCTTTGTTTGCATCCCATTGTAAAGACTTACTGTTAATTGTCCTGCTGTTAAACCATCAAATTATTCATACAGTCTTCTACCAAAAGATCTTGCCACACCCCTAGCTGGCCTGATGGGTTTTCCCTATCGTTGGAACAGGAGCTGAGTTTCTTCTTTGATGTCCACCTAAGTGAGCTTTCTGGTCCATCTGGTCAGAAGCCTTTAAATGATGGCTTTTTCCTCTACAATTTCTCCAGGAAGTACTGCCCTTAACACTGAGTAATAAGCTTCCAACATTGTCAAGAACCGAGTCATTGAATTAGTAATTAGATCAAGAAAATTTCAAAACAGTCATAGATTTTCATTGTTGAACAATAGCCAGACCTTGAGAAAAAATTGCAGTCATTGTTAAGTTGGGGAGTGGGTTTCCAGGCACAGTGTGTTTCGTTTTCACCTTTCACTGTGCCCTTGATACTGGCCAAGCCTCTTCCTTCATCAAGAACAGTGACCACTTCCAGCTCCTTCCTTGCCCACCTCACTGGTTTCTAGCACCCTTCCCCTACAGCTCTGCCCCACTGTCCCCTCTGTGTCCCTCTTTTCTTCCTTTGTGATGACCGCTCTTCACAATCCCGTTCTGTCCAGAGCAGCGGCCTCTTGCCCACACGTTGTTGCCTTTATTTCTTGTAGAACTGCTCTCTGGACAGATGTGTTTCTCTTCTATACCCTCCTGTACCCACAGTCCTTTCTGTCCCCCTTCCAGAGTAGCACCCCTTGTTAAGGTCACCAGAACCCTGTGCCCATGGACATCCATGACATTGCTTCCTACTCCACCAAAGTCCTCGTCTTGGCACCCCGGTTGTCTTTCCCACCTGCCCTGCCTGCCCACCCCTTCCCAACTCCTGCTGCCCCTGATGTTTGTTGTAGCTGCTGTCTTCTGCAAGTCCTGAGAAAACTCTGCCCAGGGGAAATACAGTACCATGATCTGACAGCCAGAGTCCACAGGGCAGGGAGCTTTCTGGAGCGTAATTTGTAGAGCCCAAAGCAGCATGGAAAATGTGGGGCCGGGAGGGCACATGTGCCTTGGTCTGTGAGCAGGAGCACAGGTCGGTGATTTCTGGTTTGGGCACATGGCACACTTACTGTGTGCAGACCTGCTAAGAGTGTGGCTGACTGAAACCAGTCAAAGGTAGACCCCAAATAGGTTGAAATCCGTATAAAATAGGTGTTACCCCCAGTTCTGCACTTGGCTGGCAGAGGTCTGAGAAAGTCTGAGTCTATAAGGAAGCATGTCTCACACTGTAATGTTGGCCATATTCTCACTTCTTTTCTTCTCTGCCGTGTGAGTTGGGACTCATCTCCAACCAGTGGCAGCAAAAGAGGGATTTCTGGTGGACAGGAGTCCCGGGGGCGGGGGGTGGGCTCCTATCTAACCAGCACTCTCTTGAAGCTCTGCGATGGTATTCACGGAGCCTAGAGGTGCAAGAAGAAAGCCTCTCCCCACCCGAAACCCTAGCTCCAAGCACGTGGGGGTTTGAGATTGACTTAATGTCCCAGCAGGTGACTTTGCCTTCAGTTCTGTTCTGGGGAGACTGGTCATTTCCAGCATGGAATTCTACCTGACTCAGAACTATGTTTCTGTGCTGTTTCTAGACAGGTGTGTATATGTTAGAAGAACATGGCAGGAGGCAGTGGGCAGGGTCCCCCAGGAACCCTGTGGGATGTTCAAAGTGTACATATCTAGATCTTGTACACCTGGGTCTCCTCCTTATCCCCTGCCATCAGGGGCCTCGTGTTTTCTGTCGGAAGAAGGTTAGACCAGATTGTTACGACCCTGGCCTCGATACTGCTTGTTTCATTCTGCGTTGTTTCGGTTTTTCCGCAGAGGTCTCATCGCCAGCGGCTTCACGGAAACCCATTATCTGCAAGATGGTACTGATGTCTCCCTCACGCGAGATTATACGGTAGGTAACCAACCCTTGTGTGTGTGTAGAGTCCAGAACACTGCACCGTCCTGTCTTGTGACCTCACCCAGAGCAAAGCTGCAGGCCCAGCTTCTGAACGGAGGCCCCAAGAAGAGTTTATGAGTCATTTAGTGGTTAGGTATGACATCACTCCAGAATGCCCAGCCTACACCAGGCATGTGACAGTACAGTCTCCCAGGCAACAGCTCTGTTAAAGGACTGACCTTGAAACCCCCTTCCAAGGACTCTGGGTTGATCATCTGGGCAGATCCTATCTGTTTAGAGAGACGTAATCCTCAGGGCACAGTGGGCTAAGCACTGGGCTGCTAACCACAAGGCTAGTGGTTCAAACCCAGCAGCTGGTCCATGGGGGAAAGACGGAGCTGTCTGCTCCTGTGAAAATGGGCAGCTCTGGCAGATCAGTGGCTTCATCTCAATGGTTGTATCTTTCAAGAAAGATAAACTCAACAATAGCTTGGAAGAGAAGTGTATCTGGTCTGAACTTAGCTAAGTGAAACTTCAAGAAACTCAAAAGTGAAACGGACCTTTAACTGATATGAAATGGTTTCATGATGTCAGTGTGATTCCATATTACGATGTTGCTGTGATACTGTGCATGTGAAGGCTTTCTCATGCTTGAAGTTTTTTATGTAACTTGGGCAGCATTCTAGTTCTTTCTGTGCACTTAACGTACTTGTACTGTGCATCCTCTGTGTGGACAATATAAGGGTTCAGAGAGTAAAATGGACTCTCTGTCCACCCTACCCCATGAGGACTGGGAAAGGCGTTTGTTTTAAAGAGCTATGGGTATTGGTTTTCAAAGAATCCGGTTTGAGTGAGGCTTCTTCAAGGCATGCTTCTTGTCTGTGGTGTGCCCTGCCTCTGTGTGCTGGATGCCAACACTCGTTTTCTTTATCATGTGTTTGACATTTGGCTTTTACAAACGGAGCCCTTCAGCTTCCCGCAACACGGCGGAATGAGCTGACGCAGCTCTCACAACCTAAAGACAGATAGAAGTCTTGGATAAACTATCAGAATCATTTAAGAATATAAGAATGTTTGTAATGCCGGGTCAAGCTTGAAAGGAAATCAGCTAAGTCTTCAAAAGGCAGATACAAAAAGGAAATGTAAGCCCAGAGCAGTAGGCATGTGAGTTGGGGACATAGGTCTCCAAAGACTAACTCAGCATCCAGAGAGAGGGGCTGCTGAACTCAGAGTTGGGAGACAAGGGAAGTGGGCAGTCGAGAATCTCACAGAGCTGGGCCCCAAGGAGAGCCACTTCCTCTGAGAAAAGATGAGGACAATTCTTCCCATGGATCCAGAGAAGGACTGATACATGCCTAGACTGGGGAAAAAAAAAAAAAGATCTCATCAAGTAGCGTGAAGGGAACTCCAGCTACCCCACATGTCTGTGTTGGGAACTGGGAGAGTCAGTGTGCAGGGCTCAACGGCAACCAGGGAATAGAATGCCTAGCCAAAACACTGACCTCAAAACAGGTACCAAATTGGTGGAACCCCTCTGCCCCAGGATGAAACTAATTCCAAATACAGGGATAGTTCTATAATCTGGATTTCATGAATCACCTCTCTCAAAAAACAAAAAAAGAAACAGTAAAATAAAATGCTGCAAATGAGTCCGAAATCAAAATAAGCACACAGTGTGAGGGACTGTGAGTGGACAAGAATAACAAGGGGATTAGAACCCCCCGGAACAAACATGATAGGAAATGTCAGGGGAAATACCTTAGTATTTTCAAGACAGTGATTATGGCTGTCCAATATGGGTCTAATAAGAATTCCAGAATACAAAAATAGGAAAAAACTATAATTAAGAAATGACAAATGTTCAGACAGAGTGTGAGGAGAAATCCCCTAGATGTAAGATAGACTCAAGTCTGGAAGAAAATCCAAGTCCCAGGAAGGAAGAGTAAAAACGAGCCCTGCCCAGGGTAGGTTCGAGCGAACCTCCAGAGCTCCTCCTACATTAGTTGTTTAGTGTGCAGAGTTTCATAACAGCCACCTGGACGAACCGAGAGTTTTGTACAAATGAACGACAGTGATGCTGACGACAGACTTCTCCTTAGTATTTGGTGGAACAGAAACTTCAGGGAGTAGAGGGAAGATTGTGAACCTCAATTCCATATTACAATGATTTTACAAGAAACAGACATTTTCATATAAAGACAAGAGAATCTATTATCCCATGATTCTTTCAAAGAATATCTTAGTACGAAGGAACTTGAACATGAGAGAGCAGAAGGGGATTTAAGAGGTCATGGTAAGCAAAATAACTACCTGTGAATATATCTAAATAGGAGTTTTGGGTTGGCACTTCAGGATAATGCTCTAGATTGCAAGGTCAGTTTGAACCGGTAGGTCAGTGGTTCAAGCTCACCAGCTGCTACTCGGAAACTCTATACAGGGTCACTATGAGTCAGAACTGACTTGACGGTACTCACCAACAGCATCAATATCTAAATAAACTATTCCAATGGCAGCAATCGTGACTAAATGTGGGAGACTGCAAACAAGATAGGTAAATAGAGTTAATAATCTTAAGAAAATTATTTTAGATAGAATAATGCAGGTGTTGAATAGGTTAGGATTTTGATAAATAATCAACGTCTCTTGCAAATTTGGCTCTCCGGATAATGCACTGGACTGCAAGGTCGGTTTGAACTGCAAGGTTGGCAGTTCAAGCTCACCAGCTGCTCCTCAGAAACCCTATACAGGGTCACTGTGAGTTAGAACCGAAGGGACAATACTTAACATATCATTAATATTGTATGACTAGAAAAGCTCAATGTGTAATCCCAGACAAACACAAGGTGATTAAAAACAATATCTGCCCAAAGCCTACTCATAGTGACCCTGTAGGACACAATAGAACCGCCCCATAGTGTTTCCAAGTCTGGTGGGTTCCACCTTTCAGTTAGCAGCCTAATGCTTTAACCACTGTACCACCAGGGCTCCTGTGGAAGCTACCAGAAGCCCCCTTCCAGAAAACAGTCACCGATCACCCATTTTCTCCAAGTCTTCAGAAACAGCAAATACATAGTATTCTTGCAATTAGAAAAATTCAGACTTTTTTATCCTGAATCTGGCAGCTGTCTTTAGTACAGCACCCACATGAAACCTTGAGGTGTGAGCTGCCAGCCAAGTAAAACCTAAAGGATCAGGACCAACAGCCTTGAACACAGATAGAAATCCCAGCGCTGTACAGCTGCTCCCCTCTGCTTTCAGGAGACCCCTCCCCGCCCCAGGACTGTTGAGGGAGGACCTCAGATTGTCTCTGTGGTCAAGTCACAGACTTCAGCCTTTGGGTTGTGTTGTTCGCTGAAGCGGCTGAAAGCAGAGATGTGCTGACTCATCTCCTGTTTCCTGGAGTCAGCTAAACTTAAGATGATACGGAAATCCCAAGCCTCTCTGAGACCACAGTGTTTTTGGTTTGATTTGGTCTTTTGCTGAGTATCTCCATCATTGGGGTCAGCTGGTGAACTTGGGCAGAGTGGTGTCTGGTTTTCATTTCAGCATTGAAGGCTTGTCATTTATGGCTTGATTGAGTGACAGAATGAAGACTTGGTGGCTTGATCCTTTGCCAGCCACATCGAAGGGAAGATTATGGTTTTATAGTCCCAATTTTTATAAAGCAGATAGGAAACAGTGTCCTGAACATTGATGCTGTTTGCACCCAAAGACAACTGTCGGAGAGGCTAGAAGGGGCCTCTTAAGGTGATCTTCCAACCAAAACCCTGCAATCAAGTTGGTTCTGACTCATAGTGACACCCAGTACAGGGCTCCCAAAACTGTAAATCTTTATGGGTGCAGTCAGCCTCACCTTTCTCCCACAGGGCGGCTGATGGGTTTGAACCACTGACCTTGGAGTTAGCAACCCAAGGCCTAACCCACAGCACCATTAGAGCTCTTTCAGGGGGTCTTGGTACTTTGGAAATTCACCCATCTGTTGCCCACATGTTAACTGAGCACCAGGCTTGGTGGCCAGCTGGGAAGATACAGTTGGGGCTTAAAAGAGACCAGGGCACTTGCATGGGACTGGGGAGGGAGGAGAGTGTTGTCAGGTAGAATTAGAATCTGGGCTAAGTGCACTGAAAGGATGGTGAGGGGCCTCCTCTGCTCAGAGCAATCATGGAAGAAGGAACACTGGAAGTCTGAGGCCGGAGAGGAAAGCAGGAAGGACATTCCAGAGCAGTGCTGAATTTTAAGCACTTAAGCCCTGAGCCATCAGGGCTCCTTAGGAACTTGGTTGTTGTTGTTAAGTGTCGCAGAGTCGCTACTAACTCATAGTGACTCTGTACAGGGTTTTCTGAGCTGCTGATAGATTTGAACTGTCGACCTTGTAGTTCCAACAGTCTTGTAGTCCAGTGCTTATCCTATAGCATCACACCAGAACTCCTAGGAACATGGTAGAATTAGAACATCTTTATCTTTGTATGCTATACAGTAGCACTGCTTCTTCATGTGATGGGTATTTGATCCCTAAAACTCAGGGCATTAAGTGGTAGCCCCATTTTACAGATTAAACACTGAGGCCTTGAGTTTCCTCCCCCCGCACCATCTCTGGCTTGCTCTAGCAGACATGCTGTCTCCAGCCCTGGCTTGCCAGGAGCTCCCCAAGCATATGAGACTATTTCCTGCTGCAGATTGCAGCCTCGGTGCTCTGTCATCCTTTCCCCAGATGAGGTCCTTGATCGAACCGGAAGGGACAGCCCTGGTCACACTACAGGCCTGGTGGAGTGGAGCTCAGTCTCGGGCACACAGCGTTAGCCTTACGATTTCTTCCCTGGAATGCACGCGTCACCTCGCTTTAGTCTCAAGCCCATTTGTGGGAGATGGAACCTGACTGTACTCAAGAATCACTAGCACACACATGTTCACACTCACGTGCAAAGATGCATACACACTCATTCAGCTCCTGTGCAGTCACACATACATTCACACTCATGGGCACACACACGTACCCACATTCCAGCATACTCAGT